TTGGGTCGCGACATTGATTTATATTGATATATTAATAATATTTGTAAAAATATTTTTAAGAATTTTTGTGTGTAATCAAAGACATATTAGAGTGTTTGGGTGATTTTGTCTTTATAATCGAGAGATTCAGCCATATTCACAACAAAAATATTGTATAATTTATCGGATACAAAAGACCGATTTGTTGTTTGAATAGCCGGTTTACTGAAAAATTCTAACTGATTTATAAAGTTTTGATGGGTTAATTTAAGTTGAGTTGTATTCTAAAAGTCAAATAAAACTGATAATAATGGGTCCATCGTCCAACACATTGAATCTGCGGATCCAATCCAATAACGGTAGATATGTATAGGTCTAGTAAGCTATTGATAAACATATCTGTATATTACTCGTGTGTATATTTGTGATCAACTCTCTCAACGTGCTACTTCTTAAAATTTTCTTCCACCTTCTCGTCTTAAATATTTTCAAATGACAAAAGCATTATAGAAATTTGAATCACAATCTCTTGGCTGTTGCTAAAATTACTTGCTTTTTGCCTTGTTTTCCTAGAGTTTATTAACAAGTAAAACGCATGTTTCACGGGCAATTGGGTCCTTTATTTTCGTTATATATATTTTTTTTTTAAGATTTAATAATAATTTAAATATATAATTTTCTTTTAAGCTTCAAAAAAGTATTACCTAATGTAAAATGCTACTTGAAGTAATGATGTTAAATAAAGTACTAGTGTGAGCTGGGTTATAAACGGGTCATATTTTGATCAAATGAATTATATCTGAATCTAAATCCAAATGTAATTAATTATTTTCATATCTAAATTTATTCTAAAATTTTATAAAATTTATATATATTAAATCATATTCGAAATTGATAGAAAATCTAATATATGATAAGAAGATCTGATTCGACATAAAATGATACTCTTTTACACTTAAATCCTTCAACTCTATTCTATCAATTATATTGATATTTAAATTTTCTAATTTTTTTAAATTAAATCTTTACAACTAAATTTTTTAATATTATATATAAAAAATTATTGGTTCATAAAATTTATTATTAAAATTTGGATTCGAATTTTTAATGGATCGGATTGCTTAATTTTACATAAAATTCACTTATATTAGATTATGAATATTTGTAATCAGATTTAATTAATCAAATATTTTAATTAAATTCAAATTCTAAAATTTGAATTGAATTTAAATCGAATTTAGTTAAAAATTCAATCTATTGGCAATCTTACACATGAGTTAGATAACCATGCACGTGAGTTAGATAGTTTGTACGAGAAACTATTTAATATTCAAAATTAATATTTTTACAAAGAGTTAAATTAATTACAAAAAGATATTCACATTCAAATTATTAATAAAAAATTAAAATAAATAAATAAGAAAACTGGTATCAAAAGATCTGAAAATTTTTTTAAAATTTCAAAAATCTTTTTGAAGTAAACACTAGCTAAAGGACGTAACAGAAACCTGCAATGCAAACACCCATTTTTGAGTTCCTTAACTTTCTCAAATGTTTCAAGCCGCTGTAATAACATCTCTCAAATTTGGATCTTAATTTGCTACCTGAACTTTTCAAACTTTTCAATATGCTCCCTGACTGTTGCCATTTTTTTGATCGTCCCTGCATTAATTAACCACTCAGATATGGCAATGCACGGCCCGAGTAATTTTGGACAACCCACTCACAGCGGGCTCTCCTTGTGCTTGCATAGAACTCAAACGCAAAAACTAGAAAACGTAAGTTGATCATTTTTATTTTGTTTTATTGCGAAACAAGAAACAAATGAAGGACACTCAAAAGATTTGGATTTCAAATATTATATAACCCAAACAGGTGTTTGAATATTTTATAAACTCAACAATAGACAGTTGTTAAGATACTATCTGAATGTTTTACACACCTTCAACCATCCCGTCGGTCATAAATAAAGCAATGGGTGACCATCCATTTCTTACAAAGAGAAATAGAACAACTAATGCACGTGTAAAAATGACTCCGTCGTCCCTCCTCCTTCTCCTCCTCCCCATCATCATCATCATCACCACCACCACCACCATCAAGCTGTTCACCAAAAGCAAAAGCAAGAGCAAACTCAGTTTGAAGCTCCCTCATTCTCCATCTAGGCTGCCCATAATCAACCATCACCACCTTCTAGGCCAGCTCCCACACCGTTCTATCCACGCCCTGTCAAAGACTTACGGACCAATCTTGTTGCTCCATCTGGATCAGGCCCCATCATCCATGGAGATCGCTAGGAAGATCTTCACGACCCAAGACGTTGCCTTTGCCAACAGGGTTGGTTCGACTTGGAACAGAAAGTTCTCTTTTTCTTTTATTTTTATCATCAAAAATCTTTTTTTTAAATTTTTTTGGAGTTACTGATATTTTTTGGTCCCTTTAGTTTAATCAAAATTTCATTTTCCACTCTTATAAATTCAAGTGCAACATGTTCCGCCATCAAATATCTGAAAAATGCAACAAGTTCACGGTCTGTCTTACCTCTTAAATAAAAATACATAACTTTTTTTAATGAATTTAGTGATAGATTTAGCGACAGATGCCAATCCGTCACTGAATTAGCGATGGCTTTACCGACAAATTGGTGTTCCGTCGCTAAATTAACGATGGATTTACCGATGGACCCCAATCCGTCGCTAAATTAGTGACGGATTTACTAACAGATTGATTGTCCATCGTTAATTTAGCGATGGACTGGTGCTCCGTCGCTAATTTAGCGACGGATTTGCCGACGAATTAGTGCTCGATTGTTAATTTAGCAACCGATTATCGACGGAACTTGTGTCCGTCACTGAATCAGAGATGGATTATCGACGGCTTGATTCCGTCGCTGAATCAACGACGGATTACCAATGGAAAGTTTGTCCGTCGCTAAATCAACGACGGATTACCAATGAAAAGTTTGTTCGTCGCTAAATTAGCGACGGATTACCGACGAATTGTTGTTTTGTTGCTGATTTAGCGATGGATTTTGTCGCTGATTTAGTGATAGATAGCTTTCCGTCGCTGAATTAGCGACGGATTACCGACAGGAAGGTTGTCCGTTGTTGATTTAGTGACGAATTTAGCAATAAATTGCTATCAGTTGCTAAATTAACGACAAATCACCGATGGATTGTTTTCCGTCATTGATTTAGTGATAGATTTAGTGACAAATTATTGTCCATCGCTGATTTAGCGATGAATTTACCGACAGATTGGTAATTCGTCGCTAATCTGTCAGTAATTAGCGACAGACAATTCCGTCGCTGATTTTCCGTCGCTGAAACCTTATTTTCTTGTAGTGGGTTTTGATATAACTGAAATTATAAACTTTTAAATTCTAAAAATCTCTTTACTTAAAAATTTTTCTTGTCAAATGACCCAACTTGTATTGTGGTTGAAACTATGACACCAAAATTCTATTATATTTATGTAAAAATTTCCACCCTTTTCTCACTTGGTGGCATTTTCTTTACATTCCAATAGGCTCAACTGAGGGCTAAATGGAAAGCACTGGAGGCAGATGAGAAAGTTATGTGTCTTGGAGCTTCTTTCCAACTGGAGGCTCCAATCTTTCCGTTCTGCCTGGGAAAGAGAAGCTGCGGGTGACATATAACTAACTAAATAAAACTATATTGCTTTTAATTAAATAAAAAATAAAAAATAAATAAATAAAAGGCAAATGACAAATTTATCCCCAAAAAGACACTAACAATTATACTTTCACTGGGAAATGTTTCGCACCATTCACTCATATGCACGTTCATTAGTTATTAGTATACATATCGGGTTGGAAAAAACTTGAATTTAGATTGTTTTATTTATTAAACGGTGTTATTATGAGCTGTTGAGGGAAAAAAGTTTTTTTTTTTGGTTTGAAAATAGAAACAATAATTAGTATTTGGTGATTTATTTTATTAATTATCAACAAAAGTGAAATAAACGTTTTAAGTATAGCCCTCAATATCATACATTACATTACAAGAAAATGTCAGATATCTAATGAAAAATTATCGACAGATATAAAATAGTTTAATTTCTGATAGAATTTTTGATGGAAATATCCGTCAGAAAATTTTCTAATGGAATTTCCAACGGATTCTTCCGTTGAAAAATTTCTGACAAAAATTCCAACGGAATTCTTTCGTCAAAAATATCTGACAAAATTTTTGACGGATTTTTCTGTTGAAAAATTTCTTACGATATTTTCGATGGAATTTTCAATTGGAAAATTTCTGCACACTCTGAAAATTTCACAAACTTGTTGGTATTTGTAAATTTTCTTACAGCAATCTCATCTTTAGGTAATACTGATTATGTAATAATAAAATCTCCATTTGGTTTTGTTTTAAAGATCTTATCTTATTTTTCTTTTCATAAAAACAGAGGTATAGAGAGGTTGCCGGAAAAGTTACCAGAGGTGTTGCTGAAAAATTGAAAAATATAAATATAAAAAATAAAATTTACAAAAATCATAAAATAATGTAAAATATAAAAAATAGAAAAACACTATTGGAAATGTCACCGGATACGCCATGAGAAATCTATTAGAAAATTTTTGACAAAAAAGTCTGTCGGAAATTCCCTTGAAAAATTTTTGACGGGTTTTTCAATTGGAAATCGTTTCCAATAGCTTTTTTCCGACGGTACATTTTCTGTTGGAAATGGATTTTTAGACAAATATTATTGTTTTTTTGACAAAAAACGTCCGTAAGAAATGACATACTTTCTTGTAGTGTTATTTGACAGAGATATTACATATTAAGAATGTTACATCAACTATTTTTGATTCTAATGGCATTACACTTGAATATTATTAACTCCATGTCTTATGTCTATCCTCAGAATTGATTGAGAACACTGCATGGCTTAAAGGAGCTCCAATCAACCTTGGCCAGATGTTTGTTAACACAGCAAGTAACATAATATGGAGGTGTGCTCTTGGAAGGAAGTACTAGGGAGAAAATAACAGGAAGTCCATGAAGTTGTCAAGGAGGGCGTCCGAGCTCGTCGGTGAATTCTGCTTCAGTGATTTCTTCCCCCACTTGGGTTGGATGGATATTGTGACAGGATTGGTGAAGAGATTGAGGGAAACTGCAGAGGGACTTGATGCTTTTCAAGGAATGTCAAAACTCGCAAGACAGTAAAGACCAGTTGGAGAGGAAATGCTTTGTTGCGACTTCACTCCAACGTCAGAAAGAAGGGTTGCCAGAGGCTGATCTTACTCAAGACAATGTCAAAGGAATTATATTGGTCTCTCTCATCCTCTCTTTCACATGCACTCTCGTAACATGTTTAAAATTTAGGTGGATAAAAAACTGGTGCTAGGACTATATGTCTTCATTGTCTATGAATCTAGAGATGGATTCAGGGATGTGCCCCTCAATTGAACTTGAAACTTTTATATTTATATATTACTCTCTCTTATTAATGCATATATATTATTCTCTTTCACTTTCTTACATTAACTAGTGTTTTAGCAATTATAGGATATGTTTTTCTGAGGGACAGGAATTGTGTCAACAACGCTGGAGTGGGCGATGGTACGCCTTATCAAAACCCAACCAAGATAAGCAAAGCACAAGAAGAGGTATGAGAAAAACAACCAAAGGTTGAAGAAGAAGACGTTCTCCAAATGGACTACTTAAAGTCTATCACCAACGAGACTCCAAGGTTGCACACTCCAGCCCCTTTCCTGTTTCCTCGAGAATTGACCCAGAGTACCAAGCTGGAAGGTTATGACATTCCTCCCAACACAAGAATTTTCATTAGCGTCTTCGCAATTCATAGAAAATCCATCTTATGGCATTCCCTAGAAAAGTTTTTGCCTGAAGGATTTTTAAACGAACAAGTCGTTTTCAAGGGCCAAGACTTCTAGTTCCGCCCTTTTGGTGCTGGCTCAAGGAGTTGCCCAGGGTTGCATTCAGTTTTGCAAAAATTGAATATGTGCTTGCAAATCTCTTACACTGGTATGACTGGAAGCTCACTAGTGGTACATGTATGGAAGCTTAGAAATGACTAAGAGCTATGGATTGATTGTTCACAAGAAAGTGCCCCTTCAACTATTCCAGAGTTGCGCTGTCTCCCCAAGGTTGTTTCTTTGTAAGTTGTGATTTTCCCTTATTAATCTGCTGCATGACTTGAGCATTATGTTTTGGAGTTTTCTCACATTTGATGGTAAATGTAATAATACAATTGAAAAGATAATTAAGATATATTTATTGCAAAAACTTGGCCCTAACTACATATGCTAAGCTCCCGACAAATAGGTGAGCTAAAATAAAAATACAAAGTAATTATTTAAAATTCTTCATGCATTGTTTTGCGTGCACCTGGAAAAATAAAAGATATTATTTTCAAACATATCGAGAATCATGTTGTTTTCATCTAAAAGTTGGAGGTTTCGCATAGATTAGTAAGCATCATACGAGATGATGACAGTGTATACATTTAATTATAAGAGTTTATCCTCCCACTCAGCTAATTATATTTTCTATGTTATAATAAAATACATTGATATTTATAGATTTCTTTGAAAAAAATAAAGAATCTATTTATTTAAAGATGCATATAGGTTAAGATAGTGTTTGGAAACGTATTGTTATCACTCTTCAGAGGACATTTTAGACTTATCTTATAATAGAAAGATTTTACATACTCATTTTTGAGAAATTATTTTAGCACGAATTTTTAAAACAAAATACCAAAAAGGCAAACTGAACAATGAGTATCAAGCCTGGAAAAGTAGATCAATATATTTTTGTGTTTGATTGATTGAAAACTCATGCATCAGGCTACCTAAAGTCAAACTAAAGAACCCAAAAGAGAAACTGAAAATTATACGTGCATGGGGCGTAGCGTAGGGGACATATTTTGTTCACAAAAAAATAATATAGAAAAATTAAGTATGAATTATGCAAAAATTTCACTTATTCAATTAACTGCATAAAATATAAGTTGATTAAAGTAGTTATATATATATATATATGTATGTATGTAAGTTAGAGATAAAGAATTTGGGAAACTTTGGTTGTTTCAGCCCGTAACTTTTTTAAATAAAAAATAGTGCTATAAATAAAAGAAAAGCAATAGTGCCTGAACTTCACCAAATTCTTCAATTTAGTTGTTCAGCTTTTATAATGGACATAACAAAAATAAATTTGTCCAATTAGCCTAATGGAAATTTTAAAAAAATTTCCTTTCTTCCCTCCCCCTTTTCCTTCCAACTCTAACCAACATCCCCTTGACCTTGTGGAGGCAAGCTAGAAAGAGAAATTTTTTAAAATTTCCAACTGGGTGGCCAAGATGGGCTTGGCCAGAAAGGACCGAATGCAGGCTTTGCTATAAGGGCCCAATGGGTGACAAGTGGATTGGGTCGGACCTTCGGATGTTGGGCGGGCCCAGTGGGAACGTACAGATGAATGGGGAAGCGAAACAGAGAGTTAGGCGAGGCGAGGCGTAGCTGGATCATAGCGGGACCTCCGTTGTTGGGAGCCTTAGGACAAGGAATGGGCTAGGGAAGGAGGAAGGTAAGGGGGGAAGGGGGGAGCTTGAACAAAGTACGGAGGAGAAAAATAGGTAATGCAGAAACATCAGAGGGTTCAAGATATTAATGCAGAGTCGATGCAAGGAATGGTGGCGTGGTTCCTCGGTGGCTCACATAATGGGTCCCGCCTGAGTGGCTGGCTTTGATTGGCTATAAAGGGTAGGGAATGGGTAGGCCAGGGCGGTGACTCGGACAGCAATGTTATATTGTGCATTGGTACTCCCGGATCTTTAAGGGGCAATCAGGAGTCCTGTAGGGTACGGGGTGACGTGGGAAGCTGGGGACGAATTTCTTCTTACGGGGTTTTGGTGATACACCCCTGTATTGAGGATGGAGATTTGCCCTTAGGGTATGGCTTGAGACACCTCAGAGGGAGTTTGGGTGTCAGCATTCATGTATTCACACGTGGTGTAACGCCCAGTGGTGGTAGCCGTCACAAGCTGAACCTCTCCTAGAGGAGTCCTTCCAAGTGGGTCTCTCCATCTCGGTTTCGAGAATGGAAGCTAAGGTAGTAGTGGTAGGGCTTTTGCATGGGGGCTTGGTCAATGGTGATCTTAGGTAGCTTTAGACGGTCGATGAGGTCATTGAGTCCAGGGTGAGGTCCGGGGGACTGCTCCGCTGTTTTGGGGTGTCATGCACAGAAGATTGTTGCTGTTCGTGTGTTTTATTTTTTGTATATAATTTTGTGCCGAACCATAGAGGTCCAATCTTTTTTGGATTTCTTATATGGTCTGATTATGCCGCTCTGGTAGGAATAATAGACTGGCTCAAAGTCATACTGGCCTTGGTCCATTTCGAAAGCGAATTTGCTTACAACAAAAATGAGATGTGGTAAGTTGCGATAGTTAAGAAAGTATGGGGGTAATGTAAGTGGGTAGCAGCATCAGAAGCTAAAGTCTTGCTATAGATTAATGCTAGAGATTTCTTATAAAAAATAAATTTTGGATGGGACTGTCTTAGTTCCAGAGAAGAAGAGCTAAAATGGGGTAAATCAGTAATTATTTGAGATTTGAGTTGTGATTGTTGGAGTTATGGCAGTTTATAATAGCTTGATGCCACTGGCAATGACAAGATAATCCCATTTCAACTCAATATTAGATTGATAAAGGCCAGAGTTATATTGGTGGATGGTCCACACTCTCATCTTTCTTATAGCAGCTTGAGGCAAAACATTTAGCCCTTGAATTAGGCCAGAAAGGTGTTGTCATGATTGTAAAACTTCAAAATTACTTGTTTCAACAATTTTTTGAGCCTTAATTATTAATTTAAAATACTTAAAGTTAAGTTATTTAATAATATTTTAAAGTCTTATATATAGTATAATTTTGATACTTAAAAACTAATGTATGACGAGGTACCATAATCTCCTTAGTCAAAAAATTGACATTTTCGTTAAGACATATTTGTATTCATATTCAAATAAAATAAAACTTGAAAAGATCTAATAATATTTCATTTTAATATTATTTATAACAATTTGAGAGCTACTTATGTTAATGAATTCGAACCAGTGACCCTTTATTTCTTAAAAATCAAAAGAAAAAATAAAATAGATTCAATAATTATTTTTATTCTAATATCATTTATAATAACCTCAAAATTACTAACCTTAAGCTTCCATATAAAGACAAAACTTCACATATAATAGAAAACTTATCAAATATTTCATATAGAACATATTAACATGTTGTAGTCTCTCGCCTTAGCCATAGTGATGATATAACTCTTCCTCGTTGTGAAAAAAAGAACTAGACAACTCAGGTGAAGTTGGATGCAACCGAAGTCAAAAGCGCAACCACCAATAGATTATATTGTGAGTTTTCTTCCTACTTTTTAACTCAAGTCTTCAATAAAGTTTAAGCATTTAGCCTTTTGGTGGAAGTCTGATCCTCCCGGTATATATAGGCTTTAGTTGCTTGTAATTCAATTTGTATCAAGCCAGTTTCTAGAAGTCAAAATTTCCCTCAAATTTTGTATAAATTGTATTACAGCTCCTTTAATTTATATTTCTTTCAAATTAAAGTTATATTTTATTTTAATTAAACCTTTCTCAAACAAAAAGTTTTAGTTCTAGAAATATAGTCAAAAGAATGTGGTGTGAGATTTCTAAAAGGGCAATCTCTTCTCGTAAACTACTAAATTGCCTCTCCCCTTTTAGCAAATCAGGAAATAGTTGATAGAAGATTGTTTAAAATAAGCCTATTCACGATTCGTGAATCAGCCCGGACTGAAACCAAATTGCTAGTTTTGGTATTGGAAACATATGAACCAAGGCAAGCACTATAAATTTCTGGTCTTTTACAGTTTTGATCTGATTCACAGTTCTGGTTTTAGTTCAAGTCAGTTCATGGATTCGGTCCAGACCGGTTCACAATTTTGGTTCTAGTTCATTCGCAATTTGTTCTTGGTTTGTCCAAAGTTCAATTTCGGTTTGATTTTACCCAAAAAAAAATAGATATTAACTTATAAATATTTTTGGGTTGTTAACTATTTTTCAGATATTATAAATATTTTGTCTTACAAATATCTTTTGAATGCTAAACATAGAAAAAAATAATAATAAATGATTTAAACTTAATTGTATATCAATTAAGCTACCTACATATATTCTTAAAATTGAGAGGAATCAAAATGCACGCAATTATCTTATCTTGATCAGTATACTTCTTTACCTTTTATCTTAATATTTGTTATCTTTAGTTCTGGTTATTATTCCTTTATCCTTTTCTTGATTTGACTTTATAATAAATTCTTGTTGTCTATACATGACCCTGATCCAATCATCAAGACATAATTGAATGTCAACATTTGTTAGAAGTATGGTCAAACAAGTTTTATTTAATATTTGATCTCCTGTATTAAAACTTGATCAACTAGAATTGTTAAGATAGGTAACTCCAAGATATTTTTTGCCATGCGTAAAAGAATTGGAAAGTTTAAAATTTTTTAATTTACTTTTCAAAAAATCAATAAATTAAACATTTTAGTTTTTTATTGAACCTAACTATTTACTAAAAATAAATTAAATTAGAAAGAAAACTTTATTAAATTTTTATAATTTTTGTTAATTAATGTGTTTAAAATAAATTTATATCTAAAAATAAGTTTTTCTTTTATATTTAAAACGTAGATTGTATAAATAAGTAAAAGTCCTCTTTCTAAATCTAAAAAAAGAAATATAATTTTTCATAATTTCAGTTCATGATTTAATTTTAATAGTTCACTAACGATTACGGTTTACGGTTCAAATTTGATTCAATTAATATGATTTTATTCAATTTTGTTATGATTTTGATCCTGATTTTGGTTCAAAAAATCATAAACCTTAATCAGAGCATGAACTCTTATAGTTTAGAACTAGACTAGACTAAAAATTAACGATCTAAACTGATCTTAATTAGACCTTGAAGAGGCTTAATTTAAAGACATGTTATTTTGTAATATCTCTTAGGACAACCCCAACATCAAGTCCCACCAGTGTCTCCCTAATAATAATAATAATAATAATAATAATAATAATAAGTAGAAGTCCCAATTTTGAACACAATTTGGGGTGATTTGCAATATGTATCTCATAATTAAAAAAATTAGTATTTTGCACCCTAACAAGACAAATAGCCTTTTGCAACATGCATCTCATAATTAAAAAATTATGCAAATCACTCAATGATTTGGGGATGACAAAAGACATTACCATTATTATTTTATAATATCACCCACTACAGTAGTGTGTGGAATTCACCAACTTGATAATTTGTTAAAATTCACATCACTTGAGGACGTCGTGGAGAAAATGACATGCAATTACCAAGGATAAAGAAAGATTAAATTTTTTATTATTTTTATTTTTTGATCTATAGCATATTTAAATGAAAAAATAACTTTTCCATAAAAAATTATTTTTATCGTTTCATAGTTCTAAGCTACCAAAAAATAACAAAGAATTTGATATTTTGGTTTGAATCTGAGTTCTGGAAACTGTCAATTTTTCTTCTGTTTTGTTCAATAATTTCAATAGGTGATGGTAATGACAAATATAATTGAACAATACAAAATTCAATTATAGTTAGAAATTCATCTAAAAATTTGTAAGAAAGGTAAATGGTTTATATAAGTGTGTAGTTGTCATAATTTAACTGGACATGGAATTGATTAAAGGATTGATCCAACCGTTAATTTGTATAATTTTGTATAAACTGAATTTATAATTAAAATCTGATGTATATTGATATATTAATAATATTTATAAAAAATATTATTAAGAATTTGTGTATATAATTTAAAACATATTTGGGCGTTAGGGTTTTTTTTTTTTAATTTATATATAAGAGTTATGTCTATACATTGCTTGTGTTTGTAATGCAAATTTGTAACTGTCTTAACATGGTAATATTCTAAATTTTCCTCCATCTGCTCATTTTAAACGACAAAGGTATGAAATAATTTTAATCACATTCACCCTCGATTTTATGGGCCACAAAATCTGGCTGTTGCTTAAATTACGTTTCTTATTGTCTGTTTCCCTAGAGTTTATTAATAATTTAAACATATGTTTCATGGGTAACAGGATCCTTTCCCTAGAGTTTATTAATAATTTAAACACATGTTTCATGGGTAATAGGATCCTTTATTTGGAGATATATAAATTATATTTTATTTAAATTTTTGAAAAAGGTATTTTCTAATATGAAAGGCTTACTTGAAGTAATTATGTTAAATAAAGTAGAGGCGTTAGTGAGTTGAACTCTGTCTGTATGAGAAACTAGCTTTTGGAGTTATTATGGATTTGAGACTTAAACTTATGAGTATATAATAGTTATGTTTTTTTAACGGATATTAAAAAGACACTTAATTCTATATTTACTTAAGAAACACGTTTTCTTAAACAAATGTAAACCAAATCAAAGTTACGCTAATTGGCCAGATCAATGTGCCAAAAGCTCCTATTGTTGCTGGCATTAGCGTCAACTTTGATGATTAGAGCTAGTAGAGCAATCCATCTCTGGCGTACACTACTCTTTCTCCTCCATTCAAATTACAGGGATCATCATTGACTGCTGTCCACCAATGCCTTCTCCGCCTCCTAGTTCTTCATGCATATGTTTCAAAGACCACTCAGTTGACCGAATACTCTTCCTTTCTGATAATTGACGCCATGTCTCCGTTAAGCTCTCTGCAATTTCAATCTCCTTGGCAATCTCGAAGGAAGATTAATCGCACGAGGACGACCCAATTTCGTCTACAAACTTAAAATCAGTTGCACTCAGATCCTCATCGTCCTCTAATTTCTCAACTGAACACATTCGATACTATTGCTATGAAACTGATCCATAGTTCCTTTTTTTTTTTTTTTTTTTTAATTTGATGGCAAGCGCAGTAACCAAATAGATCCACTAAAACAAAAACAATCTATGCTTGGCCAGAATAATTATAAAAAAAAAAAACTGAATTGATATTTATCAATTTTTTTTTTAATTTGATGACTCAAGCAATGGCCAAATAGATTTAACCAAATACGAATAATCCAAGCTCAACAAGAACAATTATAGAAAAAAACTGAATTGAAATTATCAATAAAACGTCAAGAATACTTTTGCAATTAATTTTCAGAAATTCTATCTAAATTCTAATAAGAACCAAATTACAAACTTGATTTCTCTTACAACACTATATCCCAAACTGTTAAATATCTCTACCTCTTTACTCTAAGACAACTCATTCCCAAACTGTTGGAATATCTACAACTCTTTATCCTAAGACAACTGAAATTGGTTTATTGAATATTGATTTTTATCAAAAAGTTATAGTTGAAACTTGAACTATTTGGAGATATTTTTTTTTTCTCCTAAACTTTTTGGAGATTTTTTTTCTTCCCATTCTAATAGAAAATAATATTCTTTTTATAGAGAAGAATCCTAAAGGATGAAAAATTCTTAAAAGCTAAAGACTTTTTAAACAATAAGGTTGTCATTTTGAAATAATTATGAAAATTTAAATTTTATATCTTAAATAAATCTAAATAAAATAAAAATATAACTTTTAATCAAATTCAAATATTCCAAATAAATCCTCCTGAATCGGAAATTGTGGAAGATTTCAGAGTTACATGAGACTTTTGTTGGGAAAATTAAAGAAATCGTTGAACTAAATCTCTTCAAAATCTATCAAGTCATGGTTGATTTGATCAAATTCTTCTTTTTGTTGACTTGTCTATTGATTGATTAGCAAGAGAGTGGTCAATTCAGAAGATAGAGAGCTATTTCTAGCCTTGAGTCTTTGTAAAAGGGGGTAAGTGATCTTCAATGGGGTGCCAATGCTAGATTTGACGCAAGTGAGTAGGGCTAAAAGTTGGTGCAAATGTTTGCTCCCTGGGGAAGGCATGTTGCCTTATGATAGGCCCTTACAACCTCCTCAACAGTGTCAAAGTTGCCAAGTGACACTGTCCCCCAAGGTCACTGACAGACTCCAATGAACCTCTTCCAAGCAAAACAAGTCTATTTGCCATTCTCCTTTGATGACGACTACGAATTCCCTAATAAGCTAAAACAAGGTATTGATGGATGGCAGTGCGGACGGTGATAGCTTTGATGGATGGTAGTAAGTCGGACAGAGCAGAAAGCAAGATTCGCTGAAGATGGGCTGCTATGCTAGCTCCGATTATCAGCATTGACTCGGGGGCAATAGGAGCTTTTGCTCACTGACTCGGCCAGTTCAATGTGTCTGATTCGATTCAAACGGTCTACGGAAGAAAAGTGTTTTTTTTTTTGGAATGAAAATGTGGATGAGTATCATTTTAGTACAAGTGGACGAAGTTAAATGTTACTCAACCTAAACTTATTTAACTAGCTTGAGCTTAAAAGTATGAAAGGTTTGGATAAGTCAACAAAGCTAGCTAGCATTTCTTGATTCAAAGGTTCCTGGCACTCACAGATGAAATATGTAGTAAAAGCCCCTGAATGTTGCCATTTTTATGATCGTGCTCCTTGCATTAATTGACTAACGGAACTGCTGTTAATACTTTCAGGGTTTAAAGCCACCAATATCCCCGCCTTCCGCAACTTAGTTCTATTTTCCAATTTGTCCTTTCAATGACACTCTGAATGCGATAACTACGAAGTGTAAGTTTATCATTTTGATTTTGTTTTATTATGATACAAGAAACAAAAGAAGGATGCTCAAAAGATTCGGCCTTTAGAATATTATATACACCCAATAGGTGTTTAAAAATGGTTAAGATACAGTCTGATTATTTTACATCTATTAACATATTCCACATCCAGTCGGTTATAAATCGAAGCAATTGGTAGTTTCGTGGAGACAGAAGTAGAACTACTAGTGCCTTTGTAAAAATGGCTCCAATACCCATCAAATGCTTCTCTGTCTCGTCCCTCCCCTCCTGTTTCTCCTCCTCTTCATCATCATCATCACCGTCAAGCTCTTATCCAAAAACAAAAGCAAAAGCAAACTCAGGTTGAACCTCCCTCCTTCTCCACCTAGGCTGCCGATAATCAACCACCTCCACCTTTTAGGCAAACTCCCCACCGTTCTTTCCAAGCCCTGTCCAAGACGTACGGCCCAATCATGTTTCTCCACCTGGGTCAGGCCCCAACACTCGTCGTCTCATCCATGGAGATCGTAAGGGAGATCTTCACTACCCAAGACGTTGCCTTTGCCAACAGGGTTGGTTCGACTTGAGCTGCAAGTTCCTTGTTTTCTTTATTTTTACTTTTTTTAGAATCTTTTTCATTTTTTGCAGTTACTGACGTTTCTGTCCCTTTAGTTTAATCAAAATTTTATTTTTGATTTAAGCAAAGCACGTCCCGTAACAAAGGGCCTGAAAATTGCAAAGTCTTTCTTAGCTTTTAATTAAAAAATAATTTCTTGTCCTATCAAACCCCAATTGTTGAACTAATTATATATTATGGTGGGCTAGGCACTCAATATAGTTGGGAAAAATAATTTTATACGGTTTTTGATTACACATAATCCAAGCAATGAATTTATATTAGTGAGTTTGGAGATGAAATTGAGGGTGTCTAAGAGGCTAACTAAGCCAAAAATCTAACTTGATTTTAAAATTTTAAAAATTAATGTGTTTAGAACCTACTGGATTAAAAAGTTGGGTATTTTAAATTCCTTAAAAATTTTAGGAATATTTGACATATTCACAATTCAAAAATTTATTAATTGTATATTTAAGTATATCTGGAATTTTAAACTTTTAAAAATTATGAAATTTAAAATTCCTCATTCAAATTTTGTCGAAAACTCTAATTTGTAAACATTTTATGAACAAGAAAATAATTTATAAGTTTTGACAATATTTTTAATTCTAAAATACTGTACTTTAAAATTTCTCCTATCAAATAACCCAATTTGTTTTGCATTGAAACTACAGCCATAAAAAATGTATTTAAATAAAAATTTCCACCACTTTCTCACTTGGTGGCTTTTTCTCTGTTTTCCAACAGGCCCAAGGGAGGCTGCGAAGATATAGTTCTTTGGCTGCGAAGACGTGGCATTAAATGCTTATGGAGACTACTGGAGGCAGATGAGAAAGTTATGTGTCCTGGAGCTTCTTTCCCACAGCAAGGTCCAATCTTTTCGTTCTATCCGGGAAGAAGAAGTTGCAGGTGACAGATAGATAACTTTTATATAAAATTTGTATTACTTTTAACTAAAAAATTTTTTTTTAAAAAATATTTAGTATTATGTCTATCATCAGAATTGATTGAGAACGTTCGCAGTGGATGGCTTGAAGGAGCTCCAATCAACCTCGCGCGGATGCTTGTTAAAACGACAAGCAGCATAATATGGAGGTGTGCTCTTGGAAGGCAGTATGAGGGACTAAAATATAACAAGAAGTTTGGGGAGTTGTCAAAGACGACGATGAGATCATTAGCGAATTCTGCTTTAGCGATTTCTTCACCTACTTGGGGTGGATGGATATTGTCACAGGCTTAGTGAAGAGATTGAGGAAACTGCAGAGGTCTTCATGCTTTTCTTGATCAGGTGATTGAAGAATATCGAAACTCACAAGCCAGTGTGAGGACCAATCGGAGAGGAAGTGCTTTCTTGCGGCTGTACTCCAACATGAGAAGGAAGGGTTGCTAGAGGCTAATCTCTCCAAGACAATCTCAAAGCAGTCATATTGGTCTCTCTCTACCTCTCTCTCACATGCACACTCATAACATGGTTTAGACTTAAATGGGTCAAGAACTGATGTAAGGGCTATATATGTCTTTGTTGATCTATGAATCTAAAGATGGATTCTACGGTGTCTCCTAGTCAACTTATGACTTTTCATATTTACATATTTTCCTTTCTTCTTGATGCATACACACATTTTCTTCCACTTTCTTAAATTAACTAGTATTTTGACAATAACAGGATATGTTTCTTGGAGGAACAGATACACTCTCAACAGTCCTAGAGTGGGCAATGGTACGGCTGATGCAAAACCCACCAAGATGAGTAAAGTACAAGAAGAGGTAAGAACGGTAATTGGGAAAAAGGCAAAGATTGAAGAAGAAGACATTCTCCAAATGGACTACTTAAAGTGTGTCATCAAGGAGACTCTAAGGTTACACCCTCCCGCCCTTTCATAATTCCTCGAGAATTGACCCGGAGTACCAAGCTGCAAGGCTATGACATTCCTCCCAAGACAAGAATTTTCATTAATATCTTTGCAATTCATAGAGACCCCATCTTATGGGATTCCCTGAAGAGTTTTTGCCTGAAAGATTTTTAAACAATCCAATTGATTTGAAGGGCCAAGACTACCAATTCATCCCTTTCGGTGCAGGGCGAAGGGGTTGCCAGGGCGTGCATTTGCTCTTATAGAATCTGAATATGTGCTTGCAATCTCTTTATACTGGTTTGACTGGAAGCTTCCTCGTGGTACCTGTAGCGAGGACTTAGACATAACTGAGAACTACGGTTGGTGTTCATAAGAAAGTGCCCCTTCAACTTGTTTGCAGAGTTCTGTCCCCCTTGGTTTGTTACTCTGTAAATTGTGATGTTGCCTTGTTTATTTTCCTAAATAATTTGAGTTTTATGTGTGATTTTTATTTTTTATTTTTTGG